TCATTGAGAAGGGCCTTCAGGTTGCTGGTTACCCACGGTTTGTTGTTTGGGTAGCATCGGACCTCCTTGGAGGGGATGGAGTTGTCAATGCAGAACCTAATGTACTCAGGGACACAGTAAGGCCATCAATGTCCTCCCCATGTGGCTCATACAGAGCATCCCAGTCGGTGGCCTCCAGCGCTCCACGCAGTGTTTCTATGACCATTTCCTCAGATGATCTGTGAGAACAGCAGGTTCCTCTAACTCCTGGTGGAATTTGCAAGAACGAAAACAACCAATAAGAGCCAAGAAAGATAGTTGATTACATACATTAAATACAGATGCTTTGGAACCCTGGGAATGAGACTCAATTAACTATCTTCAAGCCTCCGACCCAAAGTGTCGTTATATCTTTCTCGGCTCTGATTGGTTGTTTTTGTTCAGGTAATGAAACCAATGGTTTTATTGTTTTGTAGGACAGCCTTCTTTTATGCCAGAAGGCTGTCAGCAGGACACTGCTGAGGCTGAGGTGTCCTCACCAGTCAGTCCACTGACTGAACATCACACAGCTGGTGTAGACGGACAAACCAACCAGAGTACAGTGACCTGCAGTCCAGACAGTGTGGTCAGAGACCCAGAAGTCATCTATGATGACGTGCCTGCTGAGAACCCACAGCACCCAGTGGTAGGTGAGTCTCCTATAGTTTGATTATTTTCACATTTTAGAAACTGCCATATAGCAGTGTCCTGCCTGAAAAGGGACTGACTGATCAGTCTGTAACCACGCACACCAGACTTAATTATTAATCGTATTAAATGAAACTAAAGTTTGTTTATTTGTCTTGGCTTCTGTGTGCAGATGTTGATGACATCTATGAAGACATCCAGAGACCTGATCACTGTGGCTCCAACGGCTGGAGCTCCAGTGAGTTTGAGAGTTATGATGAGCTGTCAGACATTGAAACTGTTCCTGTAGCCCTCAGCAGCAGCAAGGTAACTCATTTAGACATTTTCTTTTAAATGTGAATAACTTTCAGTATTAGGGACACTGTTACTGGTGTGCTGCAGCTAGACATTTCCCCTAACCCACTATGATGAAGACTTTCCCAACTTTCAGGCCCAGCAGGTTTTCACATACAACACATTTTTTTTATAGTAATGCATAAAATATAAAGAAAGCCAGCAAGTACTGCAAGTCAAGAAGTATAAATAGAAAATGGCAAAGTTGACAGTAACATATGAAAAATATTATAAAAACAATATGAATGAGTCAATGTCAGTGGGGGTCCCGGGCCTTGCTTATGGGTAGAAACAGTTCTTATGCAATGAGGTTTTGGTCCTGCTGAGCCGTAGCTTCCTGATGAGGGAAGAGACTCAAAAAGTTGGTAAGGGTCGGCCACAATCTTACTTGCACACCTCAGCATCATGGAGGAGTACAGGCCCTTGAGGAATGGCAAATGGTAAACAAAAATAATAAAGGCATATTATGTAATAAAGGCATATTAAATCAGGTCAGTCAGGTGTAGAATGGTGAACTGGTGAATAATGGTACCATTAGCTGGCTTATGCTGCCCTTTATTGCTAAATATCAGTAGACAAAGAAAAATGGTAAAATATTGATGCAATGATCGCAATTTGGTGCAAAAGGCAAACAAATATTAACCTAGATATGAACAATAGATACTGATTATGTGTGTGATATTTACAACACAAACTGGTCCAGTAAGAGTATTTTAAAGCTGCAGTAGGTAAGTTTTATAAAAAATATGTTCTTGTCATTGCTGAAACTTATCCTGTAGCACATGAGACAGATAATCTGTGAAAAAAAATCATATTTCTTGTTCTAGTGCTCCCAATGGCAAGAAACCTGGACGAAAAACAACCAGGGATCAATCAGAGCCAAGAAAGATATAAAGACGCTTTGGGTTGGAAGTTTAAAGATAGTGGATTTTTAAATCTCATTCAAATACAAATATCAGTCTTTATTGTCATTTCACAGTATCTATAGCATTTATATACATAAAACAAAATGTGTCCTCTGCATTTGACCCATCCTATATAATTACTATATAAATGAGGAGCAGTGAGCAGCCATAGGCGCCCAGGGAGCAGTTAGGGGTTAGGTGCCCCCTCAACATTTTATAATAATAATTATATATAATGTAATTATATAATAATAATACTTTGACACTATTATATTAATCAATTTATTTCATTTAAAACACATATTTCTTTTTCATTTCAATTCAATTCAATTATATTTGTATAGCGCAAATTCATAACAGAAGTTATCTCAGGACACTTTTCAAAATAGAGCAGGTGTAGACCCTTTTTTTTTTGAGTTTGAGTGATCAAATCACAATGCGTCTTGGAGGTCGTTTACACATGTATTTAGCCCTGTCGGCTGTATGTCATGTTCCATACATCATTTTATGCATGATCCACAATAATAAAAATACAGAAAAAGTAAAAATTTCACACATCATGTTTTCAGGAGAGCTTATCTCTCATTAGAGTAGTTTGCACCCTGGATTCAGCTCATACAGACTAGGTGCAAGGGGTGATGGAATAATCCAAATCACAGCAGAAACAGGGTTTTCTCTGCTGTTGCACATATTGAAAGGGAGTCCCTAGTCCATCAAAGTATTAGTCACTTACATTTAGAGAGTTGAGTTTGAGTTTAGAGTTGAAATTGTGTGTAACTGTTCAGTGAAAGTGATATATGTATCATCAGTCATATGCTGACAAACTGATACCTTTTGTGAAACATTATGTTGGAGAGGTTTACGTCATTTCAATGCCACAGAAAGGATGTGAAATTTTTTCCTACGTAAAGAATGTCTGGTCATCAAAGTTTATTTTAGTTCCACTTTTTCCAGTTAGTTTTACTTTCTAAATTATTTCAGGATTTTTTGCTGTTTTGTTATAGTTTCATTTCTCTAGCTCACCATTTCCCCTTTATGAAGAAGATATATACTTTATTAATCCTCATTAAGGAAATTCTTTTTTTCACTCTTTTTAATTCTTACAAACACACACACACTGGCTTAAATGCACACTTCATGCAAACAGGGAGAGAGATGGTGGAGTGATGGGCTTGCGCACTTTTTTGGGGTTAAGTTGCCTTGCTCAAGGGCACCTCGGCAGTGCAGCTACCAGTCCACACTCCATATTGTGGTCTGTGGAATTTGAGCCGGCAACCCTCCGGTTCCCAAGCCAAGTCCCTACACACTGAGCTACTGCCGTCCCTTTATTCTGCCTAACTTGCTAGAATGACTTTACTGTGATTTTTATAGGCATGAACGACACGTTTTTATCTGTAGCTTTTTCATTTTTGCACAGTAAAATGACATGTTCACTCACAGGTGTGATAAATATGCCACATCTGGGTTGCATGACTAGTTATCACAGTCATAATTTTTTCTCTTTATTTTTGTGTCTTTTTGAAGTGCCTATCTTTTTTATAAAGGTGAAAGTATTAAAAAAAATAATATAACACAAAATAACATAATACAAAAGATTAAAAACATAGCATTGTTAATCTAACAGAGTCCGAAGAATTATACCGTTTTACATAAATGAAAGTGAAAAGTAATGTCTCAAGGATTTTTTTTTGCATTTAGGCCTTGGAATTTAAAGGTACTGAATAGAAAAAATCCATCAATTTTAAAAAGTTTATATCAGTCCAACCCAAAAATCACCAAGGCGGGGATTAATCACAGCATGTTAATGTAAGTGTATGAATAAAACCTGGCTCAGTGAAAAGAGGAAGTGAATTATTTCTGGCAGTCCCTTACTCTGTCAGCACTTCTGTCTTCTGCTTTTGTCACCATGTCTTACTCCCGCTCTTGGACTTTCCCCACTCAGCTCATGTGTTAGTGTTCAGAAAGTGACAGTGTAGGGTGAGTAAGCTTTCGTTGTGGAGGTGTTGTGAAGTCAATCATAAGAAATAAGGAGTCTATCAGCTTTTCTCTCTCAGTGTCTGGGATAAGCTGGATGTTTGTATGAGGCTTTTGAAGGATTGATTTGTCTAAATGTAAGACATTCACTGATATAAGAGGTAGGTGTCTTTCCTTCTGAGGCTGAAGTAAATGATAGCAATAAGCTGGATAATGAATCACATTACTCTCTGAGTGCAGATGGAAGTCACTGAGTATTTGAGTAGACTTGTTTTATTTTATTAGATTTGACCTGATTTGAAATCCTATTTTAGTTTATACTACATGGGAAAGTTCATGTTTGGCTAATATTTACAGCATTGACCATAAGTGCATTTTGTCAAGACATAAAAACTGTGTACGTTGGTGGAACATTGCCATGTTTGGGATGGATATTCTTTGTAGGTTTCACTAATTTGAAGGTCTGTTCCCACTTTAAAGTCATAAGATTAACAGATATATGGTGTGTGTCTGAACTGTGTTATGGTTCTTCTTAGGTGGTTTTCTATACAGAACCAATTTCTGTTTTGCCTGAGTTTAACATTAGTAAATTGAAGGTAATCCAGGTTTTTATGTACTTAAGTCATGCTTGTAATTGCTTGATATAATACAGTATCATCTGCATAACAATCAAAGTTAATAGTGTGATTCCTAATAATGTAATTTATTGTGCATGGAGGATTCATCATGAACATTTACAAACTTCTCACAAATACCTAACATTAAACCGGCAGTAGCTCATCTCATAGCTGCCAGTAGTTCCTCATAGGACGCTGATTGGTCCAAACCACTGTGGTTGGACACAAGCTTGGCAAGATGAGTTATTGCGTGAGCTTGTGCTTTTGATATCTTGTGAGTCCAGCTGCCTGTCAAGGTTAGGTCTTTGAATTGTCTTAAAAGTCTTGCAAACAAGGAATTATTGTCCCATGACATAAACACTAATAATTAAAATATATTTAAGAACTTATTTTACAAAATATTGTCACTGCTTCTGCAATTTGACCTTAGACAGTGTTAATCTTGACCACTGTCTGTCTGCTCTGGTGTCGGACTACCAGCTGCCTGCTGATGTGCTCAGCCTGAAGGCGCGTTGTGCTGTCACCAGGAGGGAATTGGCGGTGCGTCTCAGTTCACCTCATGTTGCTCACATCAGACAGAGCTGTGACACCAAGGTAGGACTCTGACAGGAGCTAATCACTCCTAATGTTTTCCTCCCGTTCCCCTCCTCAAACTGTATTTAATTTTTGTTTGGAATTTTATTGTCTACAGTACCCTCATTTACACATCTGTACTTTCATTATGTTTGCCAGGTTCAGCAGCTGATGAAAGCAGCAAAGAATGGTACCAAGGACAGTTTAGAAAAGACAAAGTTAGCCATGATTCGCAAAGTGTCTTTCCTGCAGAGAAAAGACTCAGCAGGTACAGAAACTGGAACTGGAGTTTGTAGAATCACAGATCAAAATGACCAACATTCTCAGCAGACAAATAATAACCAGATGTAGATGTCTCAGAGCTACTACAGCAGATTCCTGTGTTTCTTTCTCTGTTGCTGTTTGCAGGAGAGGGAAAGGATGATGCAGGTTACATGAATGTGTCTGTGTGTGAGTTAAGGCACCCTCCACCACAACTCTGCCCCATGCCAGAGGGGCTCAGCAGTCAGCAGGTGTGTGTATAGATGTCATTGTGGTTACACTGTGGTGTACATGCATGTGCATGAAAATGACCAGATCATCTTAGAAGGCCAGTTTATGTTCTTTAAAATGAGGGAATGATTAAAACAAGCATTTAGTTCATTAAGATAGTAGAATATACTTAGTAGGCCTTGCATTATAATCATTATAACTTCCAATGATTAACATCAGTATTTGTAACATTTATCAATTTTACTTTAAATATACAATCAGTATAGAGTAAATACCATCACCTTTCACTTAGGTGTTGCTTATATTACCTCAACTGTAAAGAGAACCAGGTCTTTAGTTGAAAGAAGACCCTGTTTTAAAGGTCCAGTGTATAGGATTTAGTGGCATCTACCGGTCACCTTCACGTTCTAATCATGTAGGAGAAACTACAGTGGCTGCATGATATGATAAAAACATTGTATTGCAATTATTTTGACTAATTTCGATATGATTCACGATTAGTGGGAATGAGCATTTTTGCGTCCCAATTTTCATTCTCACTGAAAAAAACTGTTAAATTCATGATTATTTGTTGTTGTTTGTACCAAACAAACATATTTTTTAATCTGGAGATTTAAGATTTGTAGGCCAGGGCATCCTAGCCACAGCTGTTATTTGGGACAATGTCGTTATTTTAATATCAGCTTTTATTTGATAATTTACAGGATGCAGGGTGGTATTGTTAAAACAGTATATTGGTGTAACCACTTAATAGTAATGGGAAGCGTGGAAGCGTGTTTATTCAACATTAAAGAGAATGTTAGAATTTCTCACTGCCTCCTTCAGGTTGTCAGACGTCTCATCCTCAGCTCCATCGTGCAGAGTGAGAGCAGCTACCTGGACTCTCTCAAGAGAATCCTCCAGGTGAGTCGCACCTCTCCTCAGATAACGGCCTTGTTTCTTTGGGAGAAAGTAACAATGAAACATATTTAAATAAATAATAAATAAATAATACTACTACTACTACTAATAATAATAATAACAATAATAATAATAATAATAATACATTTTATTTAAAAGCGCTTTTTTTAAAATACTCAAAGACACTGTA